TTCATACTCATCGCCCTGATGATGGAGGCAGTATGACCTCTGAAACGTTGGTAAACATCGACCAGACTACACAGCGCAACAACCCAGAAGACAGAAATCTTCATACTCTGATGACGGAGGCAGTATGACCTCTGAAACATTGGTTAACATCGACCAGACTACACAGCGCAACAACCCAGAAGACAGATTTCTTCATAATAATATGCAATTGCATGTTCATGAGGCATTCTGCACTTTCCAAAAACTGTGGCAACTTTGGGGGTGTGCCTGAGAACAACCACAAGATCACTAGCAGAAGTGTGACCACAGACCAAACTAGGCACCATACCTATAGCTATGTCCCTTTCACCAGTCCTATCTGCATTTTGTTTATTAACGCAGTTCATTATTTATAATACTTCTGTTATTATGAACTGTGGAACTGTCTGCTTATTAGTGTATGGGTCTGTATCCTTCAACCGCTGTACAAGGTATGGAGAGAGAGATAGAGGCTGGAATAAGGAAAAGCAACAAATCCAGTCACAGGGCTACTTGTTATCTGATGTAAGCAACTATTATGAATTATTGACTTCAAAAATGTTTGACGCTAGTGACCGTCATGGTAAGAAGCAGCTGTCCAGTGACCTGCCTTCAACACCATTAGCATACAACCATGCACAGTGGAGGATTTGTCAACTAGGACTTTATCGACTTATAAACTTTGGTACCAAGGTACATATTTTAACCTAATAGAGCATCATTACCTAATTTTTGAAAGTCTTGTCTTTAACTAAAGAAGTTTGGTCAGATGGATATCTGAAGTTTGGGTAGATGTTTGGAAGGTTAACCTGGTTCACCATCCAAACAACACAGTTAAGTAAAAATTAATAACATCAAAATGGAGCAAACAACTGAATATTCTGGAAAGTGCCCCCCTTCAACTTATATGAGTTCTTACATTTGTATATGGGATTATAAATGGCAGCCAACAATTGGTGAACTAGGATCAATCTGTTAATTAAACATAATTTATAATTCATTATGAAACATCTTAGAAAAACTGACTGGATGAGTTTTCAGATTTTCTGTTCTGAAGGGTACCACCGCCACCTTCTCAGTCAGATACTTCATCACTTTTGTCTGCCTTTAGAATCTATAATTATTGTCCATGTAATAATTATTTCATATCATTCTTGATGGAAAATGAATCAGATAAATATTTACCTATACGAATTTTGCTACAGGTTTCATTTAAACACATTTTTATTAGCCTCACTAGCTTTGGTATACTAATTTAAATGAGAAGAATATAAATGGATAAAAAAGACAAGTGTTCAGTCCGCAGCCTACAGTTTAAAATGTGGACACTATTATAGAATTGTATGCTCGTGGCCTTCGTTTTTCTGTACCGAAAGTGTCTGATGGGCGGAATTATTACTAAAATATGTGTTTTCTACAGGTGGAGTATTGCAGGCAACTGATAGCACCACAAAACTAAACTGAATGTAAATGTTTAGACTTGGAAGGTACAAAACACAGCTCTTCAGTGGTAGGTTATTTACAGATACTGTTTCAGCTATGAAGTTTATTTCGTGTATAACAGGGTAAGATGTGTGTGTATGTACTGTAGAGCATCCAACAATATGCTGTGTTGTCTTAAAGACTGTTTTTCTTGTACAAAGTCAAATTTCCCGTGTTTTTACCACTCGGTTGAAATGTAGCTACGTTTCATCCACAAGATGGCTGTAATGAAAACTTGACATTATTTATTTGTTCACACTCCATTTTTTTAGGTCATCATAGAATTGTTTGTTGAAAGCAATATCTGGAGTATTGTGATGTAAGTAGAAAGAGTTTTGAGAAAACCTTTTCACATATCTGTCACACAGGAAGTTCAGATATTAAAATAAATCTGAAAAATCCACTGAGGATTAAAATAAAACAAAACTCCCTTAGTCTGCAAGGTTTGTTTATTGATTTCAGTATCTAGTGAGGCATTATATGCACGTTCAAACTACAGTATTGGAATAAACATAGCGCAACGGTGCAATCTGTCCTCCCTTCTTTTAAAACAGCTTTCAATCTTGGGGAACAGAGTTCATCACATAAGCAAGACACACTTCTGTCCAAAGAAGCCTCACATCTATGAGATGATTGTCATTCAGTTATCACTTTGTGTGCATACAGCAGAAGAGGACTGGTTGAATGTGGTCACTGAACTTGTTCCCCTTTTGATCACAGCTATTTTACTTCCCTGCAGCAATTGCAACACATTGCATTTATAACATTATTTTAAGCATACACACATTGATGACATGACATTTTACTGTGACTAAAAATGAAAAAAAACATAGTCCATAATATTAATTACACCACCTGGATTGAATGTACAGCATACAACAAAGTCCTGAAGTTTGGGCATAACAACAGTTATAATCAGAAAGTAACGTCATATCAAAGGATGACAATAGGCACTACTAACTCACAAATAAAATTACTTATATATGAGAAGAAACTTAACATAAACGAGCTAGTTTTCTTTCATCAAGACGTAATTTTCATGTCCCTAATTTGCATAACTACAGCCTCACTTTGGTCATGTCAAGCTGACATATCAGGAGAGAAATGTAAGTCTGCCTTTGTATTTAGCAGGCAGTGAATGTTCTACTTGCCATTCAAATGTACTTTCAGAACTACTACTAAAACAATGCCACAAAAACTGTGTTCTTTGTAATGTAACAACTATATTAATAAAGAAATACATGCTCATAATTCTACCTCTTACTGGAACAATGAGAACTACATATAAAGGGAGAAGCAACCTAATTAATTGCATCACACACACACACATGAAAAGCATTTCATTGTGGCCAGATTTCAGTGTCCATAGTGTGATTCAGTTATCTCAACAACGAAGCAGTGGTTTGTAACAGTCCTCTGTGGCTAAGAGGTCTGTATGCTTCCTGTATTATGAATACTATCACATTATATGAGTATGGTTTTAATCACAACAAAATGCGAACAGATGTAGGTGAAGTCGAACTTCATACATGTTGCACAACAAACCCAACACACTAAGAGACCCTAATCTCAGCCAAATTAAAAAAAATATTCCACAATTTGTGCCACACTGTCTGTGACCCTGTACTAACTGCACTGGCATCCACATTCCAGAATGAAGGAATATATTCATTCCCTTCTCAAGAAGTGATGGGCAATCAAAATCACTTACGAATTAGTTACCTTCTAACAGCATTTTTCAATTACCCCTTTCAAAGTCAGAAACAGGTGTTTTTATGGTACTACCAACATGTATGCAAAAGGGACTTTTGCTTTAAACAAAGTATAAAAATTTGTGGAAATGTTTCAAAGCCAGTTAATTTGTATTTAAAGTAAGAAATGGGTGTACAGTCTTCCAGGCACATGGAAGTGTGGCATCGTGGGTTAATGAGGCCTGCACTACTGGACCTTGCCCTAAGGTTCAGGCATGACCTAGCCAAACTCAGATCAAACTTCTGTAAAGTAAGATTTGAGCTTTTCACAGTAATAAGAAAACAGATGGTGGTCTGCCACAAAGAATTTTAGCTCTGTGACAAAATAAATGGCACAACAACCCACAAGACCACCATTTACACAATTTGTTGGGGGAGGAGGGGAGTGCTAATGTAACAATTTAGGAAAACTGGCCATGGAATATTAAAGTTATGTTTCATCACAAAGTTCTGACACATACATAGGTAATTTTAAATGTACAAATCCTGAAAAATACAAAGTACTTTTTGTCGCATGCATCTATTATGCCTGATGCATCATCATAAGCAGAATTTGAACTAATTATTACTGTCTGAAATATGCTTATGTTGACGACAGAAACAGTAGTAAATTTCAAAATATATTCAGAGTTAATACTGCATGCATCCTTGAGGCTAGTATGGGGGGCATGAAATGGGTGAGGGGCCCTTTACACTTCATTTAGGCCACATGACCATCAGACCAGCCCAGTGCAGACCTCCACTGTGTGTGCACTCAACAACCAATAAGCTAAAATATTAATAGACACAGAGAAACTCATGTTTGTAAATGATTGCAATTCCAATTAGCTTTCTTCTCTCCCACTTTCTTTTTTCTTTCAGAAAACACAAAAAAGCTAAGCAGAATAATTGTGTATGCTCATACTTGGTGATGCACTGACTCTGTGTTGTTCCTATAAAAACAGCCATTTCAAACATTTTAATTGCCATTTTTTATCAGTATGCACCATATTCATAATTCCACTGCATTACGTTTACCTGGTAGAATCTTAACCACTTAGTATGAGGAGGTGAACTTATATTAAGTAATTAAGATTATATCAGGCACTTAAAGAACTATCAGAATTGCTGAGGCCAGTCTGTTCTTCCTCAGGTTGCAAAAACAGACACTGTGCCATATGAACAGTAAATATCCAATTCATGGTATGTGCTTTATTAGCGTTGTAATACGCAAATGAAACAAGGAAAACATGGTACAACTGACACAAAGTTGTGGCATTAACAATAAATAATTAAAACATTCAGCATTTTCATGCCACTCCTGTAATTTGGTTTGAATTCATGGAAGAATCAGTGCACTACTACAGTATAATTTTACAGAGACTAGCAAACTACATGTTTGCCACACCCTGCAACCAGTCACCGAACTGTGGAAAATGTTTCCCAGAATCTTCCTTATAAATGATGTTCGTGATGGTTTTCATATGATTTTAACAAATACAGGTTTTCTACCTTGACAATTGTATTTAATTTACCAACCTAAATATTATATGCTAAATACTGTTTATGATTATTATGTTTCCTTAAAACCAGCTATAGCATAACTTATTAACATCAATAGTCATTCAATATCAATAAGATCCAGCTGGTATGGCAACCAAGTGCAAGGGTAATTGGATTCACTGTTATTATGATATCAGTGCATTGAACTGATATTGACATTAATGAATTGGAAAACATCACAACTACAATACACATCTACTAACACTACTGCTTTAATACTGAATATTACATATTTATTTAACACTAAATGTACGCATGAATGATTTTTTTAAACATTATTAGATTTGGAAGCTACAAGTGGCACAGACTGGGGGGAGGTTGCCTGGCCTCAGTGTTTTAGTTCATAGTATAAGGATAATTTCAATGCCTCCTGTATGACACAGAAGACAATGAACAGTCTTGGGTACAATTCTTGCACTTCCTACACACGATAATCTAGTGTCAGTCACATCTCACATTCTCTACAGAAGGTACTGAAATGACCTGCCATTAATATGGCAACACTGGAAACCAAGCAAGGGAAGTAGCCCAGTTCCAAGCCATACACACTTATCATTCTGGGAAAGATTCTCATTTACAAATAATGCAATCTTATTAATTCTGTCTTAGTCATATATATTTCCTTATAGACGCCCCATAGATTAAACAATGAAATCAATCGACAATCATCTCTCAACTTGAATTCCAAAAATTGCAGCCTGGAATCAACCATTCATGAAATTGATCAATTGTTAACCATTCAAATCATTAATGTCAAGAACATGTTGTGAGCAACAACATAATTCACCACATACTGCAACTTCCATTACATTCTTCACATCTGGTCCCAGTACACATTTCACAAAAAAACTCCAACACAGTAGTCAACAGAATCAAATACAGGCCCATGTGTTTTCACTGCAGAATGTCTTAATCATATCCATGCAACGCAACAGCGATCCACTCGTTAACAATCGGCCAAAGTTTACAGTTTAAATTCCAGCTGCAAGCAACAATACTTTTCTCCCCTTGTGCCCCAGCCTATCTTAGCAAAAGGGGAGAAAATTTCACTTTTCCTCTTTAAAATATATTTTATTAACAATGATACAAAACTCCTTATTTTAATTCCCTTGCTTAGGACTGTTTCAAAATAAATAACCTTAAAAATTTCAAACCAAATTTTCAGTACAGAAAAACATTTCCTACTATTTCCAACCCAAAGCAATGGAATCCCAAATCAACAAATACCAAAAGCTTGGTATCTTTTAACAATGAGCCAGAAATTATTTTAATGTATCAAAGCATATATCACACAGCCTGATGCTTACATAATCAAATATTTAATTCACAAGAAATATTCAATAACCAGTCCCCTTTTTTAATTGATTTGTTGCACACTGCCATTCTTCACATAAAGTGACCTATATCCAAATGATTACTTGAATATATTCTTTGTTCCTATTTAAAGTCATATAACAACTGAAACATTGCAAGAGTTCTGAGTTACAATTATGGGCATGAGCAAAGGAACTGACCTGCTTTAGTTTACATTGGGGCATAATGGCTGTATAAAGTGTGCATTAGTGGTGTGTTGATATGCTTTACACATCAGACTTTACGATTCTGTATCACATCATACTCTGATCCATGGGTAAATAATTCACCAGTTTCTGGCCTACAGAACAAACCTAGTGTCAGTACAAATAAACGGTAAAAAAACATAAATTTAGAAAAAAAATTAACATCATTAGAAAAGAGGATATGCAATCTGTGGAGTTCTGAAGTGTAATTTACGAAGAGCATTCATAACAACACAGCATATATAATTTCATAATAATACATGCAGTATGTGTGTCAGTAAATGCATCCTTTCTTACACATAATAGCCAAGTGCAACCGTTTGTTCAAAGTCTGGATATTCCTAAAGAAGCAGAGGGACAATTTATTGTGCAGTTTATCATCAAGAATTATATTTACAGTACTGGGAAAAAGGAATTTTGTATCAACAATTTTTATTTTATTTTTTCCAACAGACAATATGGCCGCATGTTTTACTTACCATGGGAGATGCTTCCAGCCTTCTGTGTGAGATGAAGGCTGTAAAACATTGAACATCATTATTAGCCAGTGATATATAAAGAATTCACAGACAGTGCAAAAGTTAAATGTTAATAATGGACTGAAATGAAAATAATTTACATACTACTTAGTTTGGGGCCAAGTGAGACAACAAAAAAGTTACAATAAACCTGGCAAAGCATACTGTGGATTTCACATACATACATTCAAAAAGATCGAATCACAATGCTAGTCATCATCTCAAAAACAACACTTACCATAAAAATACACATAATATTGCAACAAGTGTGAACCAATGTGCCCGTAAAGCAGAAGTTGTCTTTTGCAACTGCGGCCACTCAGGACGGCTTCAAGTTACAAGCAGTTTATGCATGCAATGAAGATTTTGGTAGCGTCTGGCTGGTAGTGGAGCGGGTGGGCAGCAACTAGAATGTCCCTACAGCTTGTAGAGGACAGAGTAGAACATACTATGCACACGTGGGCGCACATACGCAAGACAGGATGTCCCTAGCTTAACTGTGTTCTCTTGGGATAATTTTCAGTCAAAAGTTCAAATAAGCATAGGTCTGATCTGCAATGGGTTGTCAAGAAAATGTTTATCACTCACTATGCAATAGCTGTGTTTGAGAAATTAGTTCACTAGGCTGCGCACATGACGCAAACAGGCAAGACACAGAAGGCAGTCAGTGATTATTAGCTGTACAATGAGTGTAGTTCATGTTTGTTTACTGTGTCGCTGAGTGTTAAAGGCAACTACATAACAATGATTACATTTTCTACTGAAGAGTATGCAGATATACATTTCATGTATGGTTATTGGGAGAATAATGCAAAAAGCAGCAGTCCAGGAATATCAATGGCAGTTTTCTGATCATACAGTCCCAGATAGACGAGCCTTCAGTAATGTGCACCGGTTTATCACAGAAACTAGTACAATCCCTCAAGACCACTATGAAGTAATGCTGACATGGAAGATGACATACTGGAAATGGAATAGCGCAATCCAAGTACTAGTGTCCAAAGAGTTTCCAATCAAATTGGGGCCAGCCAGATGACAGTCTGGAGAACTGTGCATGACAATGGTTTCTACCTTTTTCACGTGCAAAATGTCCAGGCTCTGCAACCAAAAGATTACTTTGCACATGAAAACTTCTGCAATTGGCTGCTTCAAAACCAGGAGCTGTGCACAAAAATTTTATTCAGCAGAGATGGCAACACGAACACAAGGAATATATATACATGTGTGGTCCTATGATAATCCTCATGTGACCAAGGAAACATTTGTAAACACCTGATTATTTAATCAGGAGTTGCCTGTCTTTGGTAGAATTCAATATGGAGGTCATTTTCTTAATTGGTTTCTGTATAGTACAATCTCCACCTGGATTACGGAACACATGAGACACCAGACTGCAGAACCAGTGACCAACAGAAGATGAGCATTCCATAGCCACCAGACATGGCATTGACTTCAACAAAACAGAAGTCATTGCCAACATCAGGAGCTACCATCCTTGCATAATCAGGGAGGCAATGGAGACATTCAAACACCCACACAACTTCAACCACAAAGATGGCTAAAAGCTAAGCAATGCCTGGCTTCACCTGTTTCCCACCAAACCACTGGGCCTATCAGGTTCTCAAACGGCCAGGTCCACAGTCACCTCTCTGAACCTCATAGGCACACAGCCACCACTTGCTTCCACATAATCACTGCAAATCTTTTCCCACCCAATATGGCCACCAGAATCTCGTCACCTCCTCCAAAAATTCCCAAACATCCTTTCGTCAACCACGTGCTCCTCTCCCAATGGATAGTAGCCCGCTCCTTCACACCAGCAATCAGGATATTTTATTTGGGTTTACACTTCCTTGATGTTAAACAGGGGATGGTGGTGGAATGCTACCTGTCATTCGAATGTTATGGGGGGTTTGGAATGGCAGAGTTTGAAGGTCCCCCATCCAAACACATAAATGGAGAAGAGGAAAATAGGGGTGTATAGTCCACCCTAAGCCACAACAGTAAAATATATCTGTAGGATACAGAAAAAACACGATGGAACAACAATTTCTTAAAAACAGTGGAGCTTCCATCAGCACAGTGAAGCCAGAATTTGCAGGCAAGGGAATAAACCAGTTTAATTACATGGTAAAAGGAATGAAGTGAAGTAGATATTAGAGGCTGAAGCCAGATCAGCTTTCAGCTCAGAAGTGCAGGTACACCTCCAAGTTCATTGCTGCACTGACTTTGATGGAATGCTCAACAATCAGAAGATTGGATCTGCCAAAAGAAATGGGAGCTAGTAATGACTTAAAGACCAACATATTAGGGTAAGGAGGGGGAATGTTTCTGCTAATGAGTGGAGGAGCAGACATGCCTGAATGCAATGCCTGGTGATTTGGGTTCCTGGAATAATGAGGAAGAGGATAACCATCTCCAAGGCCACATGATGAATTCTGCAAAAGGGACACCCAAACCAGAAGGGGTTAGGATTTCAGCTGCTAGCATTCCGTCAAGTCCCCATGGGGAACAGAACTTAAGCGTTTCTGACCTTAGGAAGTGACTGACTTGCATGAGGTACTTGCTACAGACATAGTCTTACCTGCCAAGTCAGTGGAAGTAACTAGAGCAAAGGTAGTAAATGAGAACCACACTGAGATACTAAAATCTGAGCTAAGCATAACAGTTTTTATAGAACCTGCAAAGATAGGAATCAAAGGAATCTACAATGCCCAAGTATGTCTAGAGTGTATAGGAGCCGTGAGTCAGCAAAGAGGAAACTAACCAGAAAAGCAGTAGAGTTAAATAGGGATAAACAATCGAAGAAGGGATTGGGTAAGAGAACTCAGGCACCCAGAGGGTATAGGAGAGAAAAAGGACTACAGTTAACCCAGAGGGCAAGGAGTAAGGACAGAACAATGAGATTGGGGGAAAGGGGAGTTGCAAAACACAGATAAGCAGTAGTACAGAAAAGCTGTGGAAAAAGAAATCCACAAGGAGTTGTAACTGAGAAGTTACAACAGAGGACACTGGGAGTCTGCAAGACTTGAAAAGTTATTGGGGAAGGAGAGAGTTGAATCAGATGAAATGCACAGCAAGCAACATCAGAGAATGCAAAAGTGGGTGGCCTAGAAAGAGATGATGCAAGACAAGTAGCAATGCTCAGGAATGGGTGTGTAGTGGCAGAGGTAAGTAAAGCTGTCTCAATGAGAGAGAAGAATTTTGAGGAACATGTATTCCTAAAACCAAAGGAGAGTAGCCAGGTAAAAACAATGAGAACCAAGTCTGAAATAAAATGCATTTGAGACACGTGAGCACAAAATTTAAGATAGGAAGTTAAATTAGGGAGCCAATCATATATGATGAATCATGCAGAGGCAGGTCAGTAGGCATGGTGACAGGAGAAAACCACATGGGAATGTTGATGAAGTTGAAAACAGGCAAGGAGAGGACACAAAGTAGAGAAAGAAACAGGGAGAAGGTAGGAAGCTCCATCTGACCACATAAATGCAAAAGTGGCAATTACCTTTAGTCATGTTACTACAAATACAAAACCTCAAAGTTGCAAAAAATCAACATGTTTATAAATGTCAGAATTAAAGTTTCATATGAGATTTGTAGCTATGTCTATTATCTAATGCACATTTTTATTAAACACAGATGTAGCATCTCATATTGAGGGTCACTTCATCCTCAAAGTTCACATTACTGCAATGATGGTAGAAAATCAAAAAGTTTAAATGTGAGGTAACATGCTGCTCATGAGAATCCACTGATTGTTTCAAAAGTTACTAGGATGGGATAATCACAAGGACATGATACAGTTAAGTCTATTTTAATATCACTTGCCTGTCTCCCTGGGATCCCTGCTGCCCATCTTTCATGCTACTCCCTGATGGAGCAACTGAGTCAAGGCCCATCTCTGACAAAGCACGTAAAGCTGTCAATGCCGCCTGAAACAGATAATATGACCACCAGTTATAACAAACTGCCCACTGAAATGGCAATGGGTATTCAAAACATTCACCACAAAAACTAATCACTGAACTGTATCCAACACATTTCACATCCTAAAATTTATTCTCATAAAAAATACCATAATTATCCTACCATCTATACCTCAGTCCCCAATAGTTTCTCTGCACGATTTACAACAAAAATTATGTATGCATTTTTCTCTCCCATGTGCCTCTTTCCACCTACCCCATCACTTTCTGAAGCTGCCCATGCAGTCACAGGTTTGATTTAAGTTTGTGTGAGTAATGGTAAGGCAATGCTCTGTGTCACTTGGATGGCTGGGTCATTCAGTTGCAAGAGATCCCTCTTTCCCAGGGAATAAATGTGGGGAAAATAAATAAAAGTCTGGACTGTCCACTGCAAGCTGCTGTTGCTGGCAAGCTAACAAACTGGCAGTCACTGATTTGCCACGTTAGTTCAGGCTATTGAATTAATTTCGAAAACCTTTCTGATGTCATCTGTTTGTTATTAAATTAATTATGAAATGAGGATAAAATTTTCCTATGTAAATTTATACAGATTTGTCAGAGCTATTGAAGAACACAACTATTCCCACTGAGAGAAAACAAACGTGTGTTCTGAAGCACAATTAAGCTGTGCTGTAGCTGTGAGAACATGACTGAAAACTTTGATGGGGCCTCCCATTGGTTGATTATATCATCATTCAGATTACTTAAATCCACTGCCAGGAACTGACTTCAAACTCATTCCCTGTCCATGGCTGCCAAGAAGCAAGAATTAAGAGATGGACACAAGATTTATGAAAGTTAGAATTTCAGAAAAATAAGTCCAAAAGACAGAGCAGTTACTGAGCATGACATAACTGCAGCTACATATGTGTTCTAACAATGCAACACAGGCTGTTGTGAAAGGGTATGTAATGGGCCAAACACTAACAAAACAGAGGCAATACATTGTTATGACTGTGTTAAATGCTGACTTGTAGAATTAGCATTTAACAACACAGGTAACTGGGACAGCAGATCAAGGCAGAGACACAGATGCAGACACAGTCAGACACTAACACTCAGAAAGATACAAGTTACAATGGATGGACACATCCTCATTCTCAGTATAACCATAAGCACTGTAAATTAAATCTCAAGCCATGCTCAGATAGCAAGTTCATCATGATTTTGGATTAGATAATTAGATTAGAAATGTGAGATGATGTAAAGTTAGTGATCAAGTAATAACACAGTTTACACATAATTTTCTATAGTGAATCTTGTAATATACATATGTACACAGTGAAGCCATGTATCAGTCCTGTAAGATGGGTCCCTACTTACGACTAATCTCTGCCGAACTCAAAATTCCAGAGAGGGTTAGATAGATAGGAGCTTGGATGGAGATAAGTTAAACATTCTAAATTATTCCCTTGCAAAGCCCACTCTAGCACAGAGCATAGGCTGAACAAGTTGGCAGCAAAGTGCTACTAAAATTAGCCACAACATAAATTGGTGATCAACGGGTAGAAATAGGGTGGTACATGGCCGAGGCATCACAATGACACAATTTAACCAGCTTAGTCCAATGTACAACTGCCAAATGGAAAGGATTACTCACCCCACTGAACCAAGCAACTATTCACTGAAGTTACATCTTCACTGTCAAATTCAAGGCACTTGCTTGTTGCTATCCCAACAAACAACATGCTTTCTGTCTGTACTAAGAAAATTTTATTTAATTAACAACACATGGGCTGAAATCAAATATCGCTTAGATATCCTGAGAGCTACTAATGCAGCTCATGCGGAAGTGTACTAAGTAAAAGTTTTTGAGTTACTCTACAGCAGTGGTCCCAACGTGGTGTCCGCGGGCGCCCGCCAAGGCTTTCTTTGGGTGCCCGCATTGATACGGAAAGAGGTTATACTGAATTATGAAGGCCGTTCAACCACAAACATTATAAAATCAAAGCACAGATCTCGACTTACTGATGCCCATCTTGACGATTGTTTGTGAGCAGCAACATCATCCTACACTCCCAAATTTGAAAAACTGGCCGATGAAATACAGTGCCAAACATCACACTAACTTCCCACTTGAGTAATAATAATTGTACTTTTGAAAGTACGTATTTTTGATTGCATGGTTTCTTGTATCATTAAATGTCGTGTTGTTTTGTGTATTATTTGGGGTCCATATCTTATTTGTCCAGAGAAAAGAAAATTTGGCTTTGTTAATTGGTTGGTGCCCGCCACGATCACATAAACTCCCAAATGTGCCCGTAGGCACAAAACAGTTGGGGACCACTGCTCTACAGAATGCTGCAAACCACCCACCTCCATCAGTCATTGCTCCCTCCCTAATTAATCAGTCAATAGGGGAAAATTCATGTGGACACTTTGTATAATTGAAAACTTATTACGTAAGACTTCAAGAAATAATATCTTGAGCAATCAGTCACTGGAGAATAGAAATAGCAGTGGGAGACAAAGCCTGCAAAACACTGAATATTAACACTGTTCTCGCACAGATGAGCACCCACAAAAACTTGAACACAGAAATTTTACTCTAGTGTTTATAAGCACTATTACTTGCTGTGTCTTGTACTGCAGCACTGGATTGTTTAAAGAAAGTCTCTGTGTTTGAGAACTGATCTCATCCCACTGTTTTGGAATCAAACATCAAGACAGGAGCAGAAGTTCCTCCAAAATGTATGTACAAAACTTCATGATACAAGCAAAAAGATATAAAATCAACATATTCTTGTAGTAATGTCTTTTTCATTAGTGGTATTTACAACAAAGAAAATAAATCTATTGTTTTTTTTTCTGTAGTGTCTGTGCATCAAGATCTCCGCCTGTAAGGAGATTTTAATAAACTTTTCTATCCAAAATTCTTGGTTCTTAAATTTAAATTACATATCTGAAGACTGCCTGAACCTCAGCATTAAAAAGAGTATGTTGTCTTACATTATTAATTTCTAACAATTCCACTAATACAAAGCCAGATTTTCCATTTTTCTCACACCTGATGAAGTTTCTTCTGTAAGACTGTAGTTTATTGATTTGGATGCATGTTTCAAAAGTTGCTTTAATAAAAATATTCTCTTTTCTTAGATTGTCACTGCCCTGCTCATTAACATCATATCCTTCCTTTATTGCCCCACTCAAAAATCATTTAACAGTTTCAGCTTTTCTCTCTTACTGTGGTGATACAGAGTACGTACTGCTAGAAAAAACTAATGCCAATTCTGTATACAGGTAGTCAAATGTTTAGTAACAAATAATGACAAGATATTTTGATATGAAAAGCAACAAATTCAAACCCAAGATGAATTGCAAATGCAAATGCTGAAGCTTCTGGTATTCTGAAGGCTTCATTAAATATGCAAAGGATTATGTCCTTGTAATAGCTTTAAAAGTTATAGCTTATATATTTAAGTCACACATTGTAATTTCTTCAACCAAGATCTACCACTTCAGGTAAATGCTACGACTAGAGGCCTACTTACCCTCTAAAAGCCAAATGGTGACTAACACACACTCACTCTCACTCGCTCATATATAAAACTGCTTTAAAAAATCAGTAACTCTGTAAGTTCCTATTTATGTTTTGTAAGGTACCTACTGTAAAGTGATTATTTCCTAAAACAGTATTCACCAACTGATCTTTTAATGAAGAAGTGTAGGATTTACTTTGTGGTACGGACCGATTCTTAAATATTATTTAGACAAGCTGGCCATAAACTAAACTTGTGGTCTGTAAAATACATGGGTGTCCTGCATTAACTATATATACTGCAACATTGTCACCACTGGACAAGCTACACAAATTGAAAATGTTTTCCATCTGTTTACTCACATAAGAAAAAATAGGGAAATAAATAATTTGTGAACAACTGTATCATACCTGATCGTGAGAGGCGTCAGTAGTCTGCCCAGCTCCATGACAGACCTGTGGTGGGTCAGTTGAGAGTGACACCAAGCTCAGGAATTCACTGTGGTTTCCCTGTAATAAGCATAATAAGCAACCATTAGCTTTGCAGTGGGTCTTTCTTTATCCGTCTGCATGTAACTCAAAAACTGTTCAACATATTTCCATATGGAAGTTTGACAAAGTTATTTTTAACACACACATTCCAAGTTTGTTTAAAATTGATGATAACAGACACTTTACAGTAAGTCTTACACATTTTCATCTGTTGGCAACTCAAATGTAACTCATACATAACTCACTAAATACTTACAGCTGTGAACACATTAAATACACATTCTGTGTCCAATACACTTCTATAAGTCTAAGAGTTTTCGAGATAATTAAGAAAAAGGGAAATTTATACTGTGTCATAACTCGTCAATCTTTCAACTGATTTTGAAAAAAATTTATACTAGAGGTCCTTACACATTTGCCCCACCAGTTCATACTATTTATAACAGCATATCAAAAGTTAGCATTCACAAATGAAAAATATAAGAAGTAACAGACTGAATGCACCAAAACTGTCATGAGATACATACATTCCCAAACAAATTCTACCTAATTAACTAGATGGCTTACCGAACTTGAAGGTTCAACACCGAATTAACCAAAGCTCTCCACCGTTCCCTGTCCTGGGCCAACAAAATCCAGTTGCCCTCAATTCCCATCTCCCATAGATCCTACTTGATATTATACTCCCATTTACATCTAGGTCTCCTCAGCGGTCTCTTCCCCACAGGCTTCCCAACAAATACCCGGTGCACACCTCTTGTCCCATCCATGCGCGCTACATGCCCTGGCCATCTCATTCTTCTCGACTTAATCACCCTGACAATATTGGGGGAAGATTATACAAATTTTTAAGCTCATAATTATGCAGTTTCTCCATGCCCCATCGTCTTCTCTCCTAGGCCCAAACATCATCCTCAACACACCATTCTCAAACACCTGCAATCCATGTTTCTCCCTCAGAGTGAGATGCCATGTTCCACACTCATACAAAACAAAAGGCAAAATTATTGTTCTGTATATTTTAATCTTTAGGTTTTTAGAAATCAGACAGGAAGAACAAATATTTTGAACTGAGAAGTTTCTGGAATTTAGTCTCCTCCTAATTTCCTCATGAATATCATTTGGATTTGTTATTGTTGTTCTCAAATATTTGAACCTTGTCACTTGTTATGAAAACAACAACAATAAAGCCTCAGAAACTTATTCTAATGGTCCAATAATAATAAGCTTAATCATATAATAAAGCTGTATTTTTGAATACATGATCAATCACTTGATCAAAGCTTCCTCCAAGAAGACATTCTGGATTATGATGCTACTCAGAATCGGTGGTAGATACCAACATTATGGAGAAACATACTGTATCCATCTACAGGGCTAAAACGATAGTGCACCAGCCAATAAACAAAGGCAGTATCCTACATAACCACAAGACATAATCCCTTGCTAGATTACACCATTCCTGCATACAAAACTCACTGCTGGAAATGATAAAAAGTGGCTTAAAAATATAACAGGGGCATGCTAACACTAACGGGAATTCCGTTATGGTGCAAGGCCTTGACATTTCAAACTAGGGGCTACTGCTACTGGTCCTTTAAGGATTTGAGTTGGATGGCTCTCAGGGATTTGAACCCACAAGTTTTAGGATTGCTTGGCTGATGGCCTCTGGAACTTGAAGAGAGAAATCACTTCATCTAAATGCCTCCATGATTGAAGAATGCAGGCTGTGCTCCTGGGAAATGGAGAGTTTATACAAGGTCCAACGAAGGGCAGGCTAGGGGGAAATGGGTCAGTCAGAGTTGAGGAATGAGGAGGCCAATAGGGAGTCTCCTAGCAGGGTGATGGGAGTGGGCCTCAACCAGGTGTGAGTAAGAGAAGAAATATGACCGTTTTTGGTGACGACTGGAAAAAGGAAATGAAGTGCCAAGCCAAAGAAACATCTAGCAGGGCATGAGGATGGTCAGTAGATAATGAATGGATGGAACATGGATATATAAGGGTGGGCACACTGGGTGAGGAAAACAGGAAGCATAGGAGAGTGGCCAATGGTTAAGATAGGGGAAGAACAGGAGACTCAGAAGAGTGCCAGTTTATGAGCACCCATCATCATAGCCCTAATTACAGTGGCAGCAAATAGCTCTGAAATGTTGGTAAACAACTACTAGACTACACACCTCTATAACCCAGAAGATACCCACCTTCAATGTGATTTCCTGCTGCCATGCCTTTCAGAGTTTTTACTGATGTCACTTTTCAAACAAATTAGTAGAATGCATGAAATACATGGGAATTTGTGTTTTAATGTCAATTAAAAATAATAGTGCTTCAATTATGGAATGATCTGAGTTATGTAATGAAACATGATAGACCTATGGAAAAGAAAACAATGTCAAATTAATCTATGTGTGGAAAGAAAATAAGAATCCACAAATAAAGTGTTGATACTATAGATCCAAACTCAATAATGTGTTGAAGTCATTTCAATTTCCATTTATGAAAATGATACAAATTAATATTTGTTGGCTGTAATTTGTATGATAGAAATTAATGGACAGTTGCTTCATACCTTTGGAAAGTCTGAGAATTGGACTTGGAAACCAAGCAGCTGGGCCAAGTATAGCAGCTGATCCTTTGGTCGCACCACCTGCTGCTGAAGCAAGGGTGTGGCCATGCCTGGTGTTACTGCTGAGTTCTTGTGATTCCCAACAGCAGCTCCTGACTTGGCCAGTGCTTCAGCTGTTGGAGAATTCCCTCCCTTCAGCAATTCCTTTGCTATTGCAGCAGTTGTCTGCAAGTTCACTCCTGTAATATGGTATAGGTTCTACTCTGAGCAGCCAAAAGCACTAATCAACCAGTTACATACTTTTATGTAACCTGAACAACTATTAGAACACAACTTAGCCCATTTTAAAACACCAAATGCCTGTCAAATTTCTCAACAATTTTATTTGTGACATTCAGTCTCTCATATGTTATCATAATGACCAATATGCAATGTACCATTTAGTATTTAACACTAATCTGACATATTTAACAGGTTTCTAAATTAATTATTTTCTAAACTGTCATGTATTGTATAATGCACACAGCAGTTATCTGTATGAATTACCATTTCTTCTCATACACTTACAAAAATATTCTCTTGACTGAACAATCCTGCAAATGCGTCTCACTAGACGACAATGTGGTGGTAGAACCCAAAGACTGAAACCACAAGTTCCATGCTGAACACATGCACCCTTCAAGTGCATGTGCAAATACTTCATGACACAACCACAGAAAAAAATGTGTTATGGTGCTGTCACCACAGACAAAAGTACAATGCATGTTTTACACAGAATTAAAGCCAATCTGAAGTGTTCAAAGAAACTTTTAACAAATGTATGAAGATATATTTTAAGTGATAACACTATTCGCTGGTGGTGTCAGAATTTCTGAAACACAGGAACTGTTGCTGATAGGACACTTGCATAGGCCAGGTGTCAAAAGACGATGATAAATTAATTTATGATGATTAATCTATCATCGTCTTTTGATACATGAGGTATCTCACCAACATTCTGTTCAGTGAAAAGGACTCCTATCACACAAGCAATGTCTTCGACTATCAGAACTATAGAATCTGCAGCAGTAAAAACAAACCTGTGCACCATAATAGTGTCTGTATGTTTGAGATAGCCCCAAAGCAAAAATGTTGTACAGTATCATGTCAGATCCCATAACTGGTCCATTCCTTTTCACTCAGGTTACATCACCTCAATGTTCTTCTGAAGGAAAACTGCATTTACTAGGACAGTGTAAATCAATGGACTACAAGATGATGATAGCCCCATATTTTTATGACATACTAAGAAAGTCTCAAGATCCTGCTTCCTCATTAAGTATTAGAAGGGGTGGGTCCATTCCACTGCCACTGACAAGTCTTGATTTATCTCCAGATGAAAATTTCATCTAAGATTGTGTCAAGGACGCTGTTTACAGTGCAAATTGAACACAGTTACGGACTTCTGACAAACAATTACGGTGGTGATCACTAGGGCCACATTTATGCTTGCCAAGGTCTGAACTGAACTGGAATACCACTCTGACATATGCAGATCTGCCAGTGGTGCTCATATTAATTTGTAACTAATTACATTAAAACTTCTATATTATTTCTCAGGCATCCTTTGATCCAGTCTTTTCGCTCCTAAGAGCCCTGCTTCCATGCAGCATGACCTGCCATTCCTAATATATCCAGAAAATTATTCCTACATGTCTACAGAAGACAACTTTTGTCTCTGTCCCTGCCTACATCAACTCTACCAGTGAAACAAGAAGAGACTTTTAAGAAAGTCAAAAGCTTTTATACTTTTAAATTTACAGCTAGCACAAAGAAAATTTACATATTTGACTCCGCCTTTGGCACAGTAGGTGACATTAATGTCAGTAACAAACTAACTAATTAGATGGCTTAGGAAACCTGAAGGTTCATCACTGAATTAACCAAAGCCCTCCACCAGCCCCTGTCCTGGGTCAGAAAAATCCAATCGCCTCCAACTCCTATCTCCAACAGATCCCGCCTGATATTATGCTCAAATCTAGTGAGCAATTATTTAAGTGTTATTATTTGTTGCCTCAGGTACAATAAATGATAAATCATTATATTGTTTAAAAAATCCACTAGCTAATGAGAACTGAGATGAAATCAGTAAAATTGTTACAATAACAAGAAGAGAAAAGACAGACTGAACAGCTATGTATTTCAGCAATATTTGGATTTACAAGTATCCATTAGAAAAATCACTTGTACACATGTCTGTGTGCGTGGGGGGGAAGAATGCACATGCAAGTGTATGTGTGTCATTACAAATATAAATATTGCAGCACAGAAAGCTACTGACCAGAATTCTTAGTTGGTGTATGAACATAGCTGCCTGTAGTGTTGTCTGCCATAAGTAAGAGACCTGGTACTAACTGTCGCCCACTGCTTCCACCAGCTGGCAACTCAACAACCTTCTCATCTTCTAGGAATGTGACCTGAAATCATTGTTCATAAACAATAAAGTTATATGGAAAGATACTGTGAAACAGAACTTTAAAGAGAATATGTAATTACCAAAAACTTATATCTGTGACTTGAGAGTCCACCAAACTAGAGGCATGAGCACCAGAACAACTAGTACACTAGAGTGGATATTGACAGACAGTGTCACTATGGTCCCTTGCTCTGCACTTTGATCAAGTGATGCCAGATGTATAGCAGGTTTGAGTTTGGCAAAGTAATGAATTTGGCAAGTATGATTTTACTTTATATCCTCTGCGTAACACCATCCACCACTCAGGTGTGATCAAAGATTCAGGGGTTTAAACATATAGTTCTTTGTGGTGCTAATTTCACATTCTTTAAATGCAATATGCTTTAGATACATGCTAATCTGAGTCCAATCTGAATTACATAGTAACTGTATATCTGTACCTAGTTCAGCAGTGTTTTGTCAGCCAACACTCGGTATGAACACAGAGGTTTCTGCTTTAGGGCTTTCTTAGTTTCTTACACTGGCCACCCATTCTGTTTTTAACAAGAAGTGACCCATCATGCAGCCTGGAAGCATTCTTCACAGGTTGTGCAATTCTGTCAAGTGCCTTCTGGGTGCAAAATGGGTCCAAGTCCATCACAGTTTCTTCTATGTCAATATGCCTCATTGTAAGGAATTGTGATACCCGGCTTTTAACATATGCCAAAAAATACTTCACTTAACATTTGTTGAGGCCTGGTTCTGGAGAAGCTAGGCACAGACAATGCATAATACTTGGTCCCCCCCCCCCTCTTGGGAACTCTCAGCATCAGCCCACCATCAGGGGATAGAAAAAGAAATGGCAACCAAGGGTTTTCCAGTTGTGAACAGGGCGATTGACTGTGATTCTTTCATGTGATTGATGTGTACAGCCATCTCTGCTGTTACGCGATAGTTGCATTCATTAAGATGCCGACCTATATAAAATCGCATAGTAAAAATAACCCCGGTACCTCCGCAGAGATTAAATTGGTCCTTTGAAAGTTTAAAGTACCAGGACTGAAACTGCATAAGAGCAAACCCGCATATGCAAAAGTTTGCATTTCACAAACAGCTTTTACTGATTCATCGATCTCATTGGAGCAAATTCGCGTTAATGAAACATACATAATTGCAGAGATGACTGTATTTATAATTTTTATTCAAAATCAGCGGTGTAAGAATTGCGATTTAGTATAAGAATCAGTATGAGATACATTGTCAAACATTATAAATAATAGTATTTTTTTTTCTTCACTTTTTGACTTGTTGGTTTCAAAATCGGGAGTTATTCGGAATCGGCGCAAATCGAGGGCTACCTGTACTTCCAAAACATTCCACCTTGAAAAATAGTGATTATTCTAATTGTTTTGGCAAAGATACATAAAAATAACACCAGTAGCTTAACTATTTCATCTCGGTTTGTGTCATTCCAGTGGCTGACTCTGATTTTGGTTCTAGGTTAGGTATGTTTTCTAAAGCCTGTTGGGCACACTGGCTTTTGTGGTTGTTTCTCTGCTTATTAGTTTGGAAGTTTAGGTGTAAGAAACAACTCAAAATGTTCCAGTGGGTTACTTGGAGTATCTAAATCAGCATTTAGGTCATGCTTGCCAAAACCCAGATATCATTTTCATATATGATTATGTTCTTTTGGGTTCTGGTGCTGTGTGGACTCAATGGTAGATGACAACATGTCAGAAAAGTATACTTTCTCCATCTTCAGGACTCAAGTGATAAAGTTGGGAATCACAAATGTACACAAATATAGTAAATGGGTAAAATTTCTGGGTGTGCAGTGAAAAGTGAATGGGACTTCAGAGCAGCAGTTTAGCCTGTACAAGATGGATCATGAATTCACTTGTGAGTACAACAGGTGATGTATGTATGAGAACATGCATAGTTCTCAGTTCGGATAAAGCTAAGATGACAAAGATGAATTACTCATTATTTTCACATCTTCATGATAAAAAAAAAGGAAAGAAAGAAAGAAAAAGAAAGAACACATATTGCCCTTCCTGCATGTATATTTTAAGCACAGTGCTATGGGTAAGGGAGTGATCATTCGTCATTTATAAAGATACACTAGTCAACCACAGTTTATTCAAGTTTGTTCAAATTAATGTGAACTGAAAGACAAATGTTTGCTATAATTGAGGATCATTGTTAACAAAGTTACTTAAAAATAACACCTGTCAGATATCTATCAAGACTTTCACCTTCCATTATGCGCAACAACATGGCCAGTGGTATTGCATTAATTTATTCAGAAACTCTCCATTTGAGATTATTTAATTCTGTCAGACATGTCTGAAACACTTAAATCACAAGACAACACATCGGGCTGGTCAAAGAAATGTTGCCATATTGAGAAATTATTCAATGTTTAAAAGGGTTAAAACACGCTCCTCAAACTGTTTACTGACTACCAAGCAGTAAATTTCTGAAGAAATTAATACTGTGCATAATGGAAAGTGTTGTGAATCAAGCATCAGTCTTGATGGAGACATTGTGATGGGTGTTAATTTTAAGAACTAACTTTGTTATAAAGTTCCTCAATAATGGCAAACACTTGTCTTTCAACTCACATTACTTTGTACGCATTTGAATAAACTGTGATCAACTAATGTACCTTTAAACATGATGAATGAACGCTGTCCCACCCTGGAATTTGATATTGATATATACAGTGAAACCTCGATGCATCGTTTTCGGCGGGGGTGGGAAATAAAAACGATGAATGCGGGAAAACGATAGATGCGGGAAAGCATTAAAAATTTAAAAAAAACAATGTTTCTCTTTCAAAGTTACTTCTTTTTACCAAAAAAGTCTTTAGTGGACAACTGGTTTGTCGAAACTTTACGTTTTAGACCAAACAGAGCACTTTCCACGTTCAAAATGTTTTCCTCGTCACGTTCACTAATATTAAGCGCATAAAAGAACAACTTCACTTTCGCCAATGCAGCGTGCGCTTCGGCAAAACTCGGCAAAGCTTCGGGCTCGCATTCGTCGTCTTCTTCTTCTTCCTCACCGCTCCAACCCCCTTTGCGGACAATAACAGGAAGAATGGAAGTACTATTACTGCCGAACTCAACGAAACGTAGCTGTAGAAGACACGATATGAACCAGAAGAATGAAAAAGTTTCGCTCGCCTTTCCTTTGTACTTATAATAAAAGCATTTGTGAAGAAATTCACACTGCACATGCCATCTGGCATCGCTGGAACGAAATATGAGTGCACCCTAATTAAAATCGTAAAATTTCTGACAATGGGCACCGCCATTCACTCCAACTATCACCCCTGCACCGCTGACCCTCATTCCAAAAGAATGTGCTGGTTGGGCGACATAACAGGTTACCGCTACTGTTTATTCCAAAAACATTGTGCGTCTTTCGGTATTAATTTATCTCTAAACCCAGCATTTTAAATTCTCAGGAACGATCATTGCGGGAAAATTGTGGGCCGGGACTAAGATTTTTGAACGATCGATGCGATAAAACGATAGTTCGAGGAACGATAGAAGCGGGAAAATGTAACATTATTTTATATGGGATGTATCCGGGACCGGAGAAAACGGACTATGCATCCGGGAAAACGATAGTTCCGGGAACGATGGATAGAGGTTTCACTGTATTACAAGTACCTGCTAAAATATGCATTTTTCTGAATTTTAAATATCAGTATTATATGACTGCTTGTATTGCAAATGCACTGATAAAAACCCATTCTCCTAAAGAGTAAAATACCATACCTTCCTATTTTTGTCCATATCCTGGTTGGTATCACCAGTCTTGATAGAAGGCTTAACAGGCTGGGCTGCTGGACGAGAGTAACCCAACAGTTGCAACAATCCCTCAGCTGCTGCTCGCTTAGCCAACTTCTTATTAGGTCCTGTACCAGTGCATGAATGCTGCCCGACATGGACCTGCATTGTACAACAAAATAATCATGGCATATACAGCATATAAAGACTGTGTAAATATTAACATAGAAACTATGCATAATCAATCACATTTAGAGAATCAAAAGTACCAAAGAAGTCAAATTATTAAGTAACAGAATACGAATATATGGACATATTTTAAGAATAAAGAGAGAACCCTAAAAATGTTTTGAATATGAAAATAAAGAGAAAATGCCCAAGGAGATGGCAATCAAAATGGGAACATGGGAAAAACAAAAACAGGTTAAGAAAGAGGACACACAGAAGACACAATATGGGAAGATATTGAAGAGGATGAAGTATGCAGAAGCAGAGATGAAACGGTTTGGTTGTTACATGACACATACAGTCAGAACATCTTATGAAGAAGGATGCTCACCTCCATAACAAATTCCCTACGTCGAGGCACTCCTCTCTCTTCGAGCAGTGAGTAAACAGGCTCACGCTCTTTCTTAGCCTGCTGGATCTGAATCAGCCGTGAGATTGGGTTGATATCTTCACCATACTCTGGCTCTGCCTTCTGCTCCTGAGGTGCAATCAAATACAATAAAGTAAAAATTAATTTTGGTGAAATGCATCACACTGACCCCAACTCAAGATACATTTTCTCCATAATATTATCAGAAACCCTATTGAAAGGTATAATTAATCATGTATTACTTAAGCACCATGCCATGACAATAACAAGTGCTCTATTTTTTAATTACAGTGAGGTCAGCCCCATGCTCCACTGACTTGCTTGTCTGCATCAGCCAGGACTCAAACCTCAGTTGATCAGCCCATACCATCGTATTTACTGAGTGATCAATAAGGGTCATATTAAATTAACACTTTATAAGCCTGGAAGCCAATTATTATGCCATGGCAACATGTGCTCAATATTTGGTTACCACAGAAATCTGATGCCAAGAAACCTTGAAGCTGATGTCATAAACTCTCTTCTTCACTCATTATTAGTATCATCACAAGAAGTTATTCTGGAAGAATTGTAGTACATGTAACTTCCAGACAGGCTGTACTCCTCTCTTTCACCGACACTTGAAATCGGAGGATAAAGTTTATTATGAGAATTAGTGGGAAGATAATTCGTTTGTTTTTATTATAATAATTTGGTAAAACATTGTTGAACTGCATTTGCAAAGTTAATTTTGATCAGGAAAGAGGCTGGGGTTTTATCCAATGCCAAGATTGCCAGGTCAGCAAGTGATGCATATAATCCATATTGCAAGCTAAGATTGCTCTTTTGCCTCTGAGATGCTGTGACAGACACATGTAATTTGACATACAGCCTTACTACCAGTGGAAGCCAGCAGCCTCCAAGATGGAGTATCCAGACTGAGAATTATCTGATGCTTTGCATCATGCTTGCAAACAAGTGAGTTTATTCCCTGACTTATGAAGCTGGAAAATAGAGTACAGCGCCAATTACCTGCGGCCCAGTTATTCATGGAGTGGACATTACGTGGTCTCAAACTGTCTCTAGAATGTACTTATATTTTTCTTACCACTTGCAACACTCTTATATTGAGTGTGATTTTAATCATTGCCTCGACTTAAAATTTACAATGAACAGCATACACTATCATCTTTTGGCATATATTTATAGACACAATAATACTAAATGAACATATCAATTTGTGTCTCTTTCCATGTTTATTGTAATAACATTTATAATACTGCTACTACTACTAACATTTCAGTGGGTTGCGATGCAAACATAAACATATTCCGGAGGTAATTCAGATGCTCAGTGCAACTTTGCTGCTATGACTGTGAACTTCTTTCACAAAGACGGAATTGTGCCACAAAATAAATGCAAAAAAGAAACTTAAAGTGTCGCCAATATGGTGAACAATTAATTGGTGACATAAATGTCAAAAACTAGACAACAGTGTAGCACTGGACAACTTTACTGGTGTGGATAATGATACCACCGTTGTTCAAGAGCTCACAGAGGGCAAAATTGTGTTAGAAATCTTGATGGAAAGAAACAGGGCATCTGACGACAACAACGACAATGTGACACCAGAGGACAAGCAAGATGATGATGACGGCAATGATAAAAATGTCATTACTATTATTGAAGCAACCAACATGGCATGAAGTCTTCGGTGCTTAGTAATGACCAGGAAATATGTGCCGGACTGTGTGTTACAGTGAAATTCTCCAAAGAATTTACCAAGAAATCACTACTAACACAAGCTATGCAGAAAAAATGACCAACTTGTTTATGAAGTAAACATGGTAAGTTAGTCTCTTTTTCGTTTTATACATGTACCTAACTATTATTCTGACATATGTAATGTTTCAATGTAGCATTTAGTTACAGTAAATATAATTTTGCCACCTGCATGATTTCGTTGTGCTAACATTTCACTGTACACCACTGGTACAGTCTATGGACCATGATGTAATGAAACCATGATAAGACTGTATAAGAAGGCCTTGATGATGTACTTGATTATGGAAGAAAGAAATACCTTTTGTTTTGTAAGTTACTGACAATTAAAGGTGCTATTTATAGCAAGACCCAATGCACTTTTTTGATAAAATGATTAAAGATCAGAAACAGTGTTTAATCCAATAATTTATTTTGTTGTATATCTGTTATGTAGGGTCAGATTAATAAACTTGGCACCTTTGGTAAACAGTAACTGAAGCCCACAAGTACAAGGTGGACAATATGCAATTGCAGTGGCGAGGTTTACTAAATTCAGGTCAGATGCTCCATCAGCTGTCCTACCTAGAACAAGCTGAGGTTTGGCCCACTGGTCAAAACTTGGGTTAGAACAACATTCACACCCCAGGTCTGATCTTATGGGGAAAGGAAGTGATGGAGGAAGTGCTCCAAATAAATCCAGAGGGAATCACAAGGTGAAGCCCCATCCTAAGTGTTCAGATAATAGGAGATGGCTGGACAGGTGGCACAAGAGGTAGTGCGAAGTTCAACAGACTAGAGGAGCAAGTGCATGGCCCAGAGGGCTGCCCTCATCCAGGACATTACAAGAGGAAGTCTCAAGTAGTAGCTAGTAGTGGACATTGCAAGTGATGACTTCAGTTATTTGGGGGGGGGGGGGGTTTCCCCTCTAAAAGAGTAGTTATTTGCAAAGTTCAGCCATTGTGACATTGTTGTCTCTCAATTTTATGACACCTCTGCTAAGGGTGTAAGGTTAAGCATTTTAGAGACTTCAGGGTACTATTTACTAGGAGTGGATTTTCAAAATTCATAGACCAGACAAACAAATAAACCACCCTGCTACAAATTAACCCCCCACCCATCCAAATCAAAATGGCTATTGAAGTGCTTAGACAACTAGAAGCGTTACATGTGGAAATCAAACTCAAACTGTATGACTTTAAGAGCTGAGAAAGACATAAATTTCATTAATTTAGTACCTAGATGGTGTGGCAAACCATCTACAATGGCAGTTTTGGAATTTTTTACACATGACTTGAAAGTGTGTCATAAATGTAAAACCGGACAGATGAAGATGAAATCCAGCTAGCAACTTTATGGGAACAATATATTGCCAAACGTTTTCATATAAGTTGTAGCCAGTTGCATGAGTCAGATTTAACATGGAAGATGTTTTGAAGTACTAGTAATTTCTTTAAAAAAACTCTGTTAAAATCAATATTAACATGGAAGTATTAGAAACAGTTCTAGAAAACCAAACCAGATTAAACTCTAGTTCCAAAAATACTATTCAGAACAGACTGAATATGAGTCTCACTTAGATGTCTAAGATGTTTTATAAGACTGGCACCTTAAAAACATATTAGCAGTATGAGATTTGAAATATTCACAGCAGTTAAAATGCGAACAATCACCTTCTTGGGTGTGACACCTAGTAATTTGTAGGAGTTTGCCAAAACTAAAAGGACAGAACAGTAAAACATTTCTCCATCCATTTCATCAGGCAGTTTTGTTTTGCAGTTACATGGCACTAAGTTTCAGGTACAGAACCCCTTCACATACATAAAATTAATGTTAGCTAAATTTGACCTATATATTTGCATAAAGTTTTTTCATAGCTAACCTGCTGATATACCTTGATGAGATTACGTGTTTTCTTCTTTCCTGGATTGGCCTTACGTTTGAGACGAGCCATACTGGCAGCCATATTGGTGGGTGACTGAGGTGGGAGCTTCTTAAGTTCTTCCAACATCTTTTCTGCAGCTCGTTTCTTAGATACCTAAAGAATGACAAATGTAATCAGTTTCCAGAGCAAATAAGAGTTTAAGTGATGGTAAAATCACCTCTAGCTTACATATCAAGATGGAAATGCAATTATGTCAGTGTGCTCATTGAATGACATTCTGTAAAGTGAGACATCACATTCTCATGGTGGTGAAGATGTCAATGTTGTTCTGGGTTGTGATGCTGTGCATACTCATGGGAAGATACCCAAGTTTCTGAGAAACATGCTAATCCCAACTTCAAGGCTGAAAGTGGGGATGATGGTATGTTGGCAGTTTACATATGGTCAAAAAAGGGACCAGGCTAGGGGAAAATTAGTCAACCAAAGACAAGAAAACAGATGGGGGAGGGGTCTGGGCAAATAGGGAGTCATGAAGGAAAATACAGAAAGGACTAGGCTGGGAAGGGGGAGAAACAATGACATAGAACTGACCATTTAGCAGCAAACCTGATGGTGGACCAAAGGCAAAATTCAGACAGGACCAAGAGACTGGGAGATGCGAGATTTGTCGCAAAATGGCAGAGCCCATACCAGGAACAAACGAGGGAGGCTGGGAAATGAGAAAGAGGTAAAAAGGTGGCCCTTTACTTGGACGAAAAGGCAGAGAAAATGAAAAAGAGAATGTATCCCTCCTATTATTAAGACAGAATTCAAGGTCACTCAGAACCACAACTAGGGAAATCAAAACTGTAAATGTGCATAAAAAAGTTTTCAGGGAATGAAAAAGTACGAACAGTGGATAGTGAATAGATACATCATGGCTATAGAAGGGTGGACAGAAGGCTGACCCTCTTCATGTTGCATTCAAACAACATCCTTTTGATGAAGTTGGATGTAGTGTCAACAAAGGGTGAAAATGCTACCAAAGTACAATCCCCTCCAGATGAATGTGAGACTCTTATATGGACCGAGAGTCTGAAGATATTTGCTGTAGCTATTGCTTGGGAATGTGTTCCAAATTCCAGTTCTTATTGGAGATTGTCCAGACCAAAGAAAACTTTGGTCTTGTAAACCAGGGAGTGGAAAGCACAACCAGTTTGTTTGCCAGATGGTGATGAGACCTGGATATAAGTTCTAATAGTTCTTAGATAAAAGAAGACTGGACTAGCCTCCATTGGCATAATCATGATATCAAATTTCAAGAAAATTGTTCAGCTCACTGCAAGTTATATAAAAAATAACAGTTCACATGATCACAGATAGGAGACAGCACAATCTTGGCTGAAATAAATGACAAATACATGGACAGTACAGAGTGATCCAAAACTCTCACAACCCATTCTTGACACATTCCTTTTGTCAAAAAATAAATTACACTGAAATCAGAAAACAAGAAACAATGTTATTTTAAGTGTTGGAAATGTCCAATGCATGCATCCATTCTTTTCTCCATATCTAATGCAACCTGGTAAAGACTTTAATCAGTAATGTTTGAAATGCACAGCTCAATATTTTGTTTCACTTCTAATTTGTGCGGGTTGTCTTTGTACACGTTCTCCTTCAAAAACCCCCAAATGTAGAAATCCAGTGTGAATGATCTGAGGACTGATAAGGCCACAAGTTTTGAGAAATATTGCAACCACCAAACTCGCTCAATAACTGCATTGTTGAATATGCTGTGTGTCCTCTATTGCTAAAACCAGCATCTTGTTCAACAACTTCCAAAAGGAAAATAACATTAATAAACAATTTCTGGTAACGTTCAGCTGTTACTGTTTCACATTGAAGAAAATGGGACTAATTACCCTCCATCAAGAGGCAGCACACCACATTCTGACTCTTAAGGAGTGTAGGTATGTGGATTTCAGCAATTTATATTATGCTGTTTTGGCTATTAATCTACCCATTTAGGTGGAACTGCAGTTCATCACAAGAGAAAACTTTATCTATACCCTCTCAAATTATGTGTGTAAACCATTTGCAGTGCTGAAGTATTTTTCCTTATCAGGTTCCTTGAGTTTGTGTTATAACATGTACATGATATGGATGAAGTTTTAAAATCTCTGTAGCCTTATGTACACTTCCACAGCATAATCCACTCTAAACAGAAAGTTCTCTCAATGACTTTCATGGAGAGTGTAACAAAATTTGATGGATATCATCATTATTTAACACCGAAGGTCAAATGAAATTGTTTCTGTCCTGCATGCTTTATGTGTCATGGAAAGAGTTCACCAGACAAAATACTATAGATTTGTTTGGCACGGGACAGTTGGGAAATATATCCCTAAATTCATTCTGGCAAGTTAAGCGAGAACAAGATTCCATGTACACTTGCTATACTTGTGAAAAAAAGACATCTTGCACCTTGACTGTTTGAAGACAACTGACAGACTGGCACAAGCAGGTTACATGATGTGACCTGTGTGAGATCTTGCATAAACACAGTAATGTTGTGTTTATTAATCCAAGCTAACTATAGTGAATTGCAACCAAAAATAAATTGTTTAATATGGGCTTGATCGCTCAGTACATACATGTAAGGTGTTATTCATAAAAAAGAATAATATCAGTGCCATTACACCCATTACCTGTCACCATACAGAACACAATTTCAGTGAACTCTTGACTATCCAGGTTACTGAAGGGAAGGAAACATGAATAATAGAAAATATTGATAATCCAAAATCAAACCTCAAATCCTATCAAAATATTTTGTTTGGTGCATTCACAGAACTTCAAAAAAAAATACATTTCTTTAAACAATTGGCACTTATTTTGACAAATAGTTGTTATGATAACTTCTTTCTGTAAACTGTTTAGACTACTCCTCATAGCAAAATGAATCTCACTCTCATCCTCCCAATCCTCCTCTTCTTCCTGGTGTTTTGTGGCAGCACTGACAAAGTCTATGAGCCGGGATAGCTCAGTCAGTATAGTGACTAGCTACGGGCTGGACGACCGGGGTTCGATCCCCGACGGGGGCAGAGGACAAACTTTACTTTACTTTACTGACAAAGTCTGCCAGGTGCTGGAAACTCATTTCACACACATCTCTCTGTAACCATTCATCATAATCTTCATTGATATTTCTTTTCACAGCACACACCATGTCAAGAATTTTTTCATCATTAAGAAAATCTTGCAAATCATCATCTTCTAAATTTGCAAGAAGTCATCTCCATGATCAATCCAGCATTACCAGATTTATAGAAGACCATGCCCAAGATAGGCCACTTTTAGCATCCAACACCATTCTTTTTCCATAATGCTATTATGCTATCACATCCATCAGCAAGAGTTATGAGAAGGTAAGCCCAGTAGTGTTGTTTCATGGATGTAATCACTCAAAACCTACCCCAAAATTTTTGGCCAATTAATTCTACTGCTGATTCATAATATTAAAATTTAATTAACTTGATCTTCCATTTTATTGTCAGCAAAATCTCATGACTTTCAGCCATCTTACTTAGGATCCACAACTGTTAACTATCATTTACACCTAAATTCTTAGAGTGATGCACATGAAGAATGCAGTCAGCCTTAAAATGGATACATCTGCATACAATGTTTAAGCTACAGCAGACATGGGGACCTTTAACCTATTCACTAAAGTGACTGAGTGTTCAATTTCATGGATGCACACTAAATTAAATTGATTTGGCTGTGATTTGTGCTAGTTATACTGAATTTATAATATTCTAAACTTATTCACAAGCTTCTGCCATCTTTCAGGAACAGCTGAACTTGTTATTTCATATTCTGGACACAGTATAACAGAAATAAGTATTTATATCCACCGTGTTTCATTAACCTATTATTATACTTTAATTATAGTATCATCATTTAATTATAGTATAATTTTAAAATCTGTCAAAGGAAATAGGTTTGGATGTCACTTCTAAAAATGGTAACAGTAAATCTCAAAATGTAAAATTGCTAATAAAACAAACACAAATCAAATACAGTGAAATATCCAGTCAGGTGGGATAACCAAAACACTGAAAAGTAGGAATAAAAAGATTAATCCATGTAAAAAACCTACACACAGAATATTTGGAAAATGTAAACAAACAGAAAAACACTCACAACAAAATAATAATCAGATAAAAAGATAAAATATTCAGAATGCTTCCTACAATTCAGTTCATAATACTGTTAGATGAGCCTACAACTGCAGCTTGGTTGGCTGGGTAACTAACCACTCCCTATGGTGACATGCTGTGTACAATCTCAGGAACTGCATCGCCAGAAACATCATTTCCACAAAGTTTGTGAACCAAAGGGAAAGTTCAACAAAAACAATTTCCACCTATGCCACACTGGAACAGGTACGGCATTGGGAGCCCAGCTCGGTGACCAAGTGATCTAGACATGGCAGAAGTGATCGGTTACCAGTGTCAGGAAACCAGAACAGTATTATGAAGAGTGCAGTTATATTCAGAGAACTAGGTCAGCAATTTGTGAAGCAACAGAAATCAACGCAGGAAATCAATTATAATAAATCCATCATAAGTTCTTAAACAAAAAAACCCACTGTATCATCACTGATTATGTTACAATATTTCATCTTCACATTTCGTACATAAAACCTTAATGTTAAAAAGTACTAATGTATAATTTTGTCTGTTTGAACTACCTGCTGTCTCACTTTAAGGGTCTTCACACACAAAAGTTCTGAAAGAAATGTGTGGACTGAGAGAGCTCAAGTAGGAGGATTAAGAAAATTACATGACGAGCATCTTTGTAATTTTTACCCTTCACCAAAAATATTATTAAAAAAACTCAGTGAAGACATCTGAGTGGGCAGGAAGATAACTAATATGCACAAAATGTTAAAAAAAACTAAAGGGAAGAGACACTTAGTAAACCTGGGCTAATATGAAAATTAATTGTAAATAAACAGTGTGTGAAGGCATGGAATGGATTCAAGTGGCTCAAGACAGATCTTGGACACAGTAATGCCCCTCCATATTCCATAAATGTAGAATTTCCTGTTTGGTGAGTAACTATCTGCTTTACAAGGAAGACCTTGTGCAACAGAGTGAGTAAATCTCCCATGCACTCCAAGACCACAATAGTAAACCATTCCCATTTACCTTCTTGCCATTGCCTTCACCAGTCGTCACCCTGTCCCCAACTGCGCATTTGGTCACAAAGGTTCTCATATGTGGTGGTCCTTTCTCACTAACCACCTCAAAATTCACTGGGAGATTGCGCTTCAAAGCAATCTCATGAACTAGTGAGATAGGAGACTTCAAATCTGCATTAGGATCATTTTCCAAACCACAGGAAATTCCTGCAAAATAAGAAAACATTAAGCAATAAGATTAGAAATTTATATTCTGTATAGTACACAAGAGTTCCAAAGGTGTTCTTTATGCCACTTCTGATGAGTAATACCAAATGGTTACAACATCACTGACAGAAAGCAACAAAACTGGTTGATCAGCATGACAAACAGATACACGCTTCATACAGCCACTCACAAATGGAAGCAAAAACACATGCAACCAGTCTATAATGGAATTTCATAGATTGGGGAACTTCATTCTGTTGTAAGCAGATATCCAATTAATACTGGCACTTCCTACAAACACAGGATTTTGTACAGATAAGTATATGTACCCCATATACAGTACTGTATTTACTCATGATGCACAAATCTATGACACATTTTTAACTGCATAATATGCACTGTTTTACTTTTCCAAGTAATTTTCTGATATACAGGCATGACCTTCGATCAATATTTGTGCACGGCAAATTATGTAAAATATTTCAGAATTATTTAAATTCAGTGAAAACACCTTGAGGTTTTCAGAGCAGTGAGGATATTTTTCTTATTTCAACACCATGTAGACTCGTCTGCAGATGTGAATGTTTAGGAGAAACATGTTGTCTCTTTCTTCACGGCTGAAGTGGCAATGCTAGCAGGTGTAGAAATTTACATGGGGTTAGAGGAAAAGATGGCAGGGGGAGGGCCTACCAGGAATAAGGAATGAGGGGGG